CACACACACACACACACACACACACACACACACACACACACACACACGTTAGATTAAAAGTCCAGCAGATGCCCAGGAAGTCCAGCTAAAAGCAGAAGACGGTGTCTCCTATGGCAAAGCCTAGCTAGACAGATGCCAGATAGCTGCGGGAGATCAGCATAACCTCAGCTGCTGAGCTCACAGCCTAGCCACCACCACTGCCAGAGCACACTCCCTCTCCTTACTGTCTGGCACTCTGGGCTACATCTGCAGGCTGCAGAAAGCCAGGGCTCCAGCTCTCCCTCCTCACACTCCTTGCCCAAAGCACCGCAAACCTGCTACCAAACAGCAACCTCCTCAACTGTTCTGACTAAGAAAAGCGCAGAAATTAAACAAATGAATTGAAGAACGAACAAACAAACAAAACAAAACACGTGAACGAACAAACAAACCCCCTTGAGACCCGGAGGCTCTGCCCACTCCCATCCCAGTTTCTCGTTTTTTTCCCCCAACCTCTGCTGGTTAATTTCTTTTCCTGGGTTAAATAAAAGGGAGTGCTTGTCCATCCTGACTTGGGAAGAGGGCAAGCGGTTAGTTCCAGGCTAGATCCACCTGCTGCTAAGGGCATCCACCTTATGGAAGCTTAAGATCAGCAACATCTCCTTAGAATGCAGAAGGATTGCAAAGACCCTAAACTTCTCTCTATCTCTGTCATCTTTGTCTCTGTCTCTCTGTGTCTGACTCTTTCCATATCTCTCTCCTTCTCTGTCTCCCCCCCCCCATTCTTGTCACCAAAGGGTTAATCCTGGCTGGGCTCCAAGTCCTCCCCACAAGCCACTCCATTCCCCCTCCTCTTTTTTGCCTCCCCCTCCCTTCCTGCGCACGTCGCTAGAGGTCATCAAGCGCTCTGCCCAGTCGTGTTCTCAAGCCTTATTCTTTCCCGCCCATCAAACCAGTAGCTGCTCACGAAGAGGTGTGCGCTCACCAAGGGGCGTGTTCCAGCTCCGGGAGACGCTGCGCGCCCCTGGGTTAGACCTCAGAGCTGCGCTAGCCATGGAACTGAGCGAGTGCAAAGTTTGGCACCCCTCACAGGGATGTCAGACAGGAGTGGGCGGACCACCCGAGGGCTCTTCAACCCTCTAATGTTAGGGGGGCCGGCTGCCTGGACCCCAGAAGGTGTGCTGCAATGGAAGGTGTAGAGTCGGCAGCCCAGGTTACTGCCCAGCCTCAGGATGAAGAGCAGCCTGCTGAGTCCCCAGAGCTTCTGCCGCCGCCTCCCGCTCCGCCGCCTGCACCACCGCCGCCAGCTTCTCCACCGTTCCCCGAGCCTTCTCCAGAACCAGTCCCAGAGCCTGCACTGGGACCATGTCCAGATACGACTCCAGAACCAGCTACAGAAGCAGACTCAAAAACAACCCCAGAGCCGGACCCCAAGCCGGACCCAGAACCAGACTCAGAGCCGGTCTCAGAGCCGGACCCAGAACTTGTCTCAGCGCTGGCCCAGGAGCCAGTCCCAGAAGATGCCCCAGAGCCGGCCCCCGAGTCGGCCCCAGACTCTGTCACAGATCCAACCGTAGAGTTGGCCTTAGAACCGACTAGACAGCCCACCCCACCAGATCTTGACATAGGGCTGGCCCTAGAGCTAGTCCCAGAACCTGATACGGAGAGGGCCCCAGAGTCATGGCTGGAGCCAACTCCAGAGTTCTATCCAATGATGAGTCCGGCATTACAGCTGTTGCAGTTGGTCCCTGGAGAGAAAGGTCGAAAGTCACCTCCGTTGCCCAGATCACCAATAACGTGGTCCAGAATAAAGGTAAGAAAAAGACCCCTTGGAGGAAGGGGGGAGGGGGAAGCTAGACCAGGTAGGATAGCTATCGAGTTTGCTAGACTCGGGGTGTCCCTTGAACCCTTTTGGTTGCCACTCACTGACCAGAAAAGATATGGGAATGGAAGATCCTGGGGAAGCGGGAAGTAGCAAGGAAGCAAGAAGTGGTTGGGAGGCGGGAAGCAACATGTGAGAAAAGAGAGTAGGCTGCTTGGGGTTTAGGAAAAGAGGTGGCAAAAGTGGGAGTCAGAGCGGTTTCCCTCATAGGAGAAAGTGACAGTGCAGTGAGCACCTATATCTTGAAAAAAAAAAAAAAAGGCAGTGAAAGGCACCCCTGGGGAATGCAAGATACCCAAAGTATTTGGGGCTGCCTCTAGGTACTTAAGCGGGTGACACGGGGGTGGGGGTGGGGGTGGCTACAGGACACACCTCTGCCATAGTCACTGCCGCAGAGGCCCAAAGCTGCAGAGCCTTTCTGCCTGCTTGGCCCCCTCCCTGCCATTGAGCAGGAGGGGGCACCTCTGCTGAGATGCAGCTGAAGACATCCTGGGGGGGGGGAGGTGCCTGGTGCCTCTGTCCACTGCTGGGCACTTACTAGTACTCCAGGCAGAGGTGAGGGGAAGGGCGGTGCCCAAGCACACTGCAGGGAAAGGGCAAGGTTCGCTGGGAGGAGAGGGGAGAGCTGCGTGTGTTGAAGCCACCATTGTGTCTGTCTGCAGGGTTTCCCAGCAGGTAGGTGCAAACACTGACCTCGCGGGTTAGGGTTACTCTCATCCCTCCCCAGGACCAGCTGGAATCATACCGCAGTCCGTGTTTAGCAACGTGAATACACAAGTTGGGGTTTGCGAGCAGAGCGTGTGAAGCACAACTTTCATCTCTACTGGTCTCCAGAAATTCCTTCTCAAACACTGCACTTAGCTTTGGGGGAGGGGGCAGTGAATGGTCTTCGGGCATCAGTCCAAGCCAGCGGAGTAAGGAAGGTTTGCAATGTTTACCTCCAGTCTATCTGATTTTCTCCCTCCGTCTCTGGTCCCCTTCTCCCCGTCTCTGGTCCCCATACTTTAAAACTGTGAAAAAGCACAACACAGCATCTGCCTCACTTTAGCTTCTTCCAAAGAAAAACACCCACAAGGAAAATAGCGCAACACGCTAATCATGACAGCCTTTCCAGTGGCTTGGCTTAGCAGGGCTGGGGACATGTCTTGGGAATCGTGCCGCTGTGGGGTGCACACCTGTTGAGTGCAGACTGCAGGGGTTTGGGGGTAGAACTGGCCACCCGAAATGCCAAATATATGCCATGATCAAGTCTGCCGTGAAAGTTTCCAAGAAGACAAAGGGGTGTCAATTGATTTAAATAAATCAGATAGGATGATAGTGACTTGGACAATTAAAAAAATCAAATTCTCAGGGATGGATCTTTCCTCTTTCTGCGGATAGTCTTTCTTTCTGACGAAAGAAAGGGCAGGTGGGTAGCTAAACAGGGAGGTCACCCTCACTCTGAGGCTAGCTGTTGTCGTTTTTGTAAAGGTCTGCACCACGCTGGTGAGTGGGAGATGAGCAAGAACCACCTGACCTGTGGCCATCTTTAGTGACATTTTGGGAAGCAGGCTTAGTCACATGGATGGCCTTGGAAGGCCCTTTTGTCTCAGCAAGGCAGACTGAGGGCTGGGGGTGGGGAGTGGCAGGACCCTTGTTCCCAATCCCTAGGGAACATAATCCCCCCTTAGCTGTGCAAGCATATTCCACCAGATTGACTGGAAATTGTCTATTAGCAGATGTGGAGAATGAAGGCAAAGAGAATCTGCTTAGTTCCCTTTCTATTGCACGGGTTCACACAGACTGACTGGGTGGCCCCTGGCATGTGCCAGCACCCACAGGAAACAAGGACCCGGGGGGGGGGGACACTCTCCTTCAGAAGAGTGAGGTAGCTGTTGAGCCACATATCTGGGGAGGTGGCAAGCCCAAGTGCTCATCAGGGAGGACCGGCAGATCAGCTTGTGAAGGCCCACAGAGGATCCAAGTGTGCAAACGATCCAGGTAAAGGCTCACATTGCCAGGACACTGTTCTCTATAGCTTCACTCGGCCGCCTGGCTGCCTCCTCTGCACCGTTTTCAATCAAGAAGATCATGCTCAACACAAGCAGACTGCTCTCGCACACTGCCTCCCTGAGGACAGCTGGGAAGATACACATCACACACATACAACCTCACCCCCCCACATACACACACAGAAATACACCAAACACACATCACACACTACACACACATATCAAACACACCACACATACTAATACACTACATGCACAAACACATCACACATTTAAATAACACACACATCTCTGTCTTATACACGCAAAAGCACATCACAGACATACCACACACATGCATATAGCACACACACACATCACACAAACTCAAACACATCACACACATCATACCCACATACCCCAAACGTACATCATATACACTACATATACAAACACATCACACAGATACCACACATATATCACAAATATACCACAAACACACACAGACAGCACATATTCACCACACACACAATCACAAACACACTACATCTACCAATACACCCCACACACTACACAAACCCATCACACACGCCACATATCACACACACACACACTACACACACAAATTCATCACATACATACCACACATACATATACCACACACAAACACACACAACACACACTTCACAAACACACATAACATACATCAACACACCACACACAAACGCAACACACACATCACACAGCACATACACCAACACACAACACACAAACACAACACACACACATCACATGCACCAACTCACCACATATTCATCACACATACCACACACACA